AAACAGTTTGGGAATTAAGGTCATTAATTTTCCACTTTCAAGGGCTGCCACACAGACGGAGATAAAGTCAGCATAAATATTCCAACGAAGTTTCTCCTGTTTTTTTTTTTTTTTTCCCTTCTCGCCATATTCATCGGCAGCCCATTTATCTCCATGCTGTCAATTAGAAGGAAAAGCAAAGAACTAATTAGGAACTGTGCAATTTTAATTAGCTGTTTTGATAATTAAACTAATTGGTTCCCTTGTGTTTCTGCAATGTGTGCTGAGAACTTTTTTGATATCTGGGCAGCAGATTTCCCGTCCGCTGGTTAATTAGTCACTTTTGCATTAAAAAGAAGCCTTCCCTAATAGCCTTAATTTGCAGTTGAAAAGAGAATCTACCATCAATAATTTGTGTAATTGGTAGCCGTTTGATTGTAATTTAGAGGCACGGCTGGACAGCTCTGCATGTCTAATTCTTAATGACTGGGATTAAAGTTGGATTAAGTGTTTGGGAAAGGGATTCACTCTCTCTCCTTCCCTACCCACCAAATGACACCTTGTCTTCATGTGCACTTAAAACTGACTGGAGGTGAACAACAGGGTTTCAACTTTTCCCGCAACCAGTTACAGGGAATTAATACTGATAACTACTACAATTAATTTACCTTATTCTCGCTCAGATAATGTGGGTGGGCAATGGTGGGGTGGTAATTCTAATTTGCATGAATTTATTTTATCTGCTGCAGCATTGCTCTCTGCTTGTATTTTCTTTTGTTGTCCTTCTGATGCAAGTGGTGGGGAAGTGTTTACAAATGATTTCATGGCCAATAGGTGGCAGTGAACTCAAATCGGGTCAAAATTACAGAACATAAACAGAGAGAAACATAGATTTCACATTAAAATTCAGTCACAGCTATTTCAAAGTAGAAACACTGATTAGCTCTGTTCAGTACTTCATGTTTGGTCAAAATATTGTTGGAAGAATCCTAACAGTCCAAATATTGAGGAGCTCTCATTACTCACTAAGACGTGTCTGCCTTTGGTGCATTTCATACTATTGTATATATGCATTGAACAATTTAATCCTGAAAAATCCAATCTAAAAACATAAGTTGCTCTCATGAAAAAAGTGAGACCCTTTTGGTATAAACACAATTTTTTCACAGATCCAACCATGTGATTTGACATGTTGTTCTACTGCTACCATTTTGTAGGCGTTTGATGTGAAAACAAGGCAGCAACATTCCACTAGGGGGAGCAGCACCTTAGATCTAAGGGTAAAAAAACAGAAGTCAGCTTTGCTTATGATCAATAGTCAGTCATGTACTTCATCATTTTCTTTGTCAACATTAGACCCTATGCAGATACAGTATTTCTGTTGAATATCAGAGTGTCTCCAGACTCGTGTTGGTAAGTGCGATCCAAAAAACAGTAAATGACATTGGTGTTTACAGGTGTCAGCTTAATGCTGGAATAAATTTGAATATTGCTAGAAGCCCAGAAACTCAGAGTAAATGCACATCATTCAGCGTATTAACTATCGGCCACCATCTTTATACATTTACAACACGGAGCCCTGCCAGTGCTCTGATTAAAAAGCACCATTCATTCCACTTAGCGAGAACACAATTAAGGGACACGGCTTTAAAAGCCCAGCCCGAAGCCTCTCCCCACCCCACATAAAAGAAGCACTCTCCACTGAGCCCTGCCTGTAAATATCATGTTCGATATGAGGTTTTAATCTGCTTAGCCATTCTGAACTATAGAATTGGCTCATCCTTTCTCTGAAACCCCTGTCCAATGGCTGTGTGCCTGAGGACGAATGGGAACACAACACTAGTGTGCTATCTGATTAGGTGGGGTTAATTACAGAGCACTGTTTTGTAGTGCTTGCATTTGAGAGCCACCCATAAATAGATGGGCATGGGTAATGCATGTTCAGAAATGAATTTTAATTAACTGTGTATCATCGAAGCCCACTCAGGGGCTTTTTTCTAGTGTGTACTGACCCTGCTGTTGATGTGGAGTGGGAAAAGGTCTGCACCCAAGACACCGCTAGTTGGGCTGGAGTGTTCAGCTGGGCTCACAGGAGCAGGGTATCTTACACACACAAAGTTGTGTCTTTACACAAAGGTAATGTGGGTAATTTATATTGATGAGAACAGCTGTGATTGAGTGGCACTGAGAAACCACTGCACTTGTCCAGATTGCGATTATAGTTGCAATTCAAGCTGCACTGAGACATACAGTATAGTCTCCACTTCATTTTTCCAAATGGTGGGTCCTGACCCCAAAGTAGGTCAGAGGACTGAGGTAATCTGTTCATAGAAGTTCCTTTTGAACCCTTTTTTTTCTTATACGCTGCCTCATTACATTCAGTACTGCCTCTAATGTTGCATATTGTCATTTTGTCTCATCATTTGAAAGTACTACTTGAAAGTATTACTAAATCATAAGTTTCAAGGACTAGAACCATGAGACTTTTGGTTAGTTTGATGTGATTTCAGCACATCAAACCAAACTACAACAGTGATGGAGTCACATGTTATTTGGGCATTTCCTCCATATGTGGTAAAACTATAGACATAAAATGAAGTGTATGTAAAACTACGGCTAAATCAGTTTCAAACACAATTCCACGTCGCTCTCTGTGGACAGTTAGAGTCAGTTTTGTCATTAAATATTTGCATGCAAGTAGAAAAAATTAAAAGGCGGATGGTTGAATCTGATTGTTCAGTGTGTGAGCCATGACAGCATGATCATTCAGTGATGTACAAAGATGATTTTGTTTTGCAGGTTAACCATGCTTGTTGACATAATGTTTGGTTTCTATTATTATTATTTCTTGAAACTGTTCCCAGCTAGCAGTCACTAGCATCATTTGATGCACGTCATCATCATTTATGAGCTACACTGAGTAATTAAATATACTAACTGTTAGTACTATATATGCACTACATGCTTTTGGACTGCTGAAGTCCGGCCTGGTATGTACATGAAGTCAGGCTTTCTCGGAGAGAGTTCCAACCATCAAATCTAAAAATGTACTCTTGTGCTCGGACAGATGTTTGAACTCAGAATGATAAGTGACAGTCCCATTGAAAGTGACTGGTTTTTCTAACATGAACTGCAGCTGACGTTAGGTGATTGCAGCGTATTGAGAGCTCCATCCATTATTTCTCACCAGTCACACAAACCATTATGTTCTTTCTTGGAAAAGTCTTTACATTGTATTTTTTAATCCAGATGTCAAGGAGCTGTTTGAAGCCAGGCTCCAATAATACTGAACCAAGCTTCTCCCTTTTGTGGAACCGGTTTCTGTGTGATTGGATTAATTATGTGTCACTCACTTTGCTAGAGGTCAGCAAACATACATTCTCGGTCATAAGTCATCAATCTATGTGACCGTGGAGATGAAAAGTCAAGCATGTCAGCCAGGAAGCTGGACAGAGAGGGATCAGCCCATTGATTTCAGGGCCAAACCCAATCACACTACGGCCTGCTGCCCTGAGAACTGAAATTATCCCTATGGGCTACATACAGCAGGGTTTATACTGGAGCAGGAGCCCATCAACACAGACTCCAACATGTATTTGAACACAAATACTAACATTTGAGGTAATTGTAATTAGTAGTAAATGATTATAATGTTGTAAAAATGTTGATGGAGGAGTACAGCATTTTTATTAGTGTGCTCTGTGCTATAGAACACCTATGTTTCACTTTTCATAATCAGTGGACAATCACTTTTGTTTGATTAACATAAATGTCACTGACACATTTTTATGTTATGAAATGAAATGCTGTGACTAAGTGCACTCAGCTAAGAGGCAACGGTGTTTAAGATGCATTAGGAGCACCACCTGCTGGGAGGGAAGTGGTTTCGTGTTTAAAAACCAAAGTGATTTCCCACTCTTCCCATTTTCCTCCTGGTTCACGTCCATTTAATTTCATGAAACTAGTCTTGTATGAATATGAGGGAGGGAGGGTCTATTGATTTGAAAAAGTTTGTGAAGTTATTATCGCAATTGTTTACTTTAACATTTATTTTAGTCTGTGGGTAGAGTGTTGTTGTATTTGATGCAAAATGTTAACAGAAGGCGAGCACAGACTGAGCAAGCTCACACCACAGAAGACAGCCTGCTGGCTTGCTGACGAACCAGCATTATTGCAGCTATACCCCCAACTCCTCTCTTCTAAATGGCTGATCTTTGTTGGATCTCACCCTTAATTGGTTAACAGTCTCCGCAGGGCAAGTGAAAGTGGTGCTATTTAAGGCACCGCCACGAAACAGCAACACTTTCATCTTGGCAATAACAGGCAACAATTATATTACCAGATTCAGAGCTGAACCTTCTATCTACCCACTAATCAAAAACGCAGCCCATCTGTTGTGCTGCCTCTTTTGAAAGTGCAGCCTGTGTATGATGACTGTGTCTGGACACTAATTAACTGCTAAACACACCACAATTAGATGTTATTCCTATTCGGTTCTGCTGGAAAGAGGCACGGAGACTAAATGGATTAGGCGAGTTTTTACATTTATGTTGATTTCAGTGTACTATGGAGCAGCATCCTCCCTCTCTATCTCTCTGGGTCTGTTTTTAAGGCTCTCTCTCTCTCTCTCTTCCTTTCTTTCGTATGGTCTTTACTGTGTGTGTGTGCGCGCACGTGCATCAATGCGCTTGTGCACGCGCACCTTCAGTGTGGCACACTACTCTCTCTCTCTCACGCACGGTCGTACGCACTGACACACACGCACGCACGTGCGCACGCACGCACGCACACTTTCCCTTGAAGGTGCTATTGTGTTTTGTCAGAATTAATGAGAAAAGTTCCCTTGCCCTAGGGGTAATTAGTGTCCTTGGAGTTAAATAAGCTAATACTTAGACACCTCTGGCACAAGCAATTATGTTTGTGTATTGAATAATTGATTCAAAGAGGGGGGAAGGGCTGCTAATCAGATCTGAGCATAATGAATTGATTTAATTAACAGGGGAATCCGAGGGTCTGTGGAAACTGCGCGCATTTATTCAGTAGCAGCCGAGGCGAGCGCGGCACATAAACTGAGAGAGAGAGGAAGAGAGAGAGAGGGGAAGAGAGACAGAGAGAGAGAGAGAGGCGGTGCGAGTTTGCTTTTAGCAGTTGTCAGATTTGCAATTGGATTTGTTTGAATTTAGTTGCTTGTGGGAGCAAACGAGCAGGAGAAAGAGAGGATATCATTAGAGAGCGAGAGCCGGAGCTCAGTCTGAGCGTCTGATCCGAGCTGCACTTGCACAAATAGGCGAGACTCCGTCTGTAAACGCGTTTCCTTGTTTGTTTCATTTTTTCTTTCGCATGGAATTCATCAAAAGCGACCAACGAGCTTTCACGCTGTTTATTTGCCTTACAGTTGTCTCCGGATAGAGGCATCGCGCCGCGCTATCATTCCGTCTGTGAGTTATTAGCCCAGTAATAGGACAGAGGAGAGCATACAGACGGTAATTCAGCTTCACTCTTACAATTTACCTTTATTTAATGTTCATTTTATTGGCTTTTAGTGGTTTTAGTCTAGTCCGCCGCGCGTCTCAGAGCCATTTCCAGTAGAAGCTGTGCGCAAACCGAGCGGTGCATCCTGCTGGAGCCGAGGACGGATCGCCCGGGGAAGGACTCCTCGTTCCTCAGGACGATGGTGTTGGACAAGGAAGAGGGTGAGTAACATGTCTCACCAAAATGTGCACGAACCCCGGGGAAACAAGGGGGAGAGGAGGGGGGGCAGAACTAGTGACATTTACCACGTCAAGTAACCCGGACCCTGCGCACCCGCAGCCTCCGCTGTCACGGCTTTGTCCGCCCCGCTCGGTCACGCACAGGGTCCGTGTTTCACTGAATACAACGGCAGAGTTTATTTTATTTATTTATTTATTTTTACATGCACTAATAAAAGTTACGGTGCTCTGTGTCACAAATGCAGCTTGCACTGACAGCAGACGCGCGTTAGTATTTTGGAAGAGTTCCATGTTTTGGTGTGCTCGTGTCGCTCAGATGCGTGTGCGCCGGACTTTGAGGCTAGTCCACAGACGCTGCAGTGCATGTGGCTCCTCTGGTCTCCCCTCCTTCCTCCCTCTCTCCCTAAGTGCACTCTGCGTCTGTGAAGTTAGCGAGGCAGCCTTTGACATCAGCACGGGATGGGAGATGACAGCAGAGTGCTTTTAACTTGATTGCAAATTATGGATAGCGCCGTGCAGCGTTCACTCACTCTCCATCCAAACAGGCCTGCTTGCATTACTTATCCATTTCAATGTATTTAGGTTAATGGGTGAGGCAATCTAATTAATTTTAATTCACATCAAACTCGCCTCTAATGAAGCCGCGTTTGGATTAAACTGATGAAGAGATGGGCTCTCTGCATTTATCACAGCCAGGTCTGAATGACATTCATTATTGTGTTTTAAGAGAAGTGAATTAAGCATCACTAAACCATCGCATTAGTTACCGTTAACTGGTAGGAAACCTGACTACTTTATAATGTTTTTTTCTACCTTTTGTGACTTTTAAAAGTGGGAGTACATTTTTTTTACTCGCATCAAATATATTTTACTGGCACATTTGAATATACTCTAGGCTCCCCCTCTAAAAGTGATAAATGAATTTGCAAATCAGTATTTATGTTGGGAAATGGATATCTCATTTCTAATAGTAGAACATCATTTCACTTACACATCTAAATAGCAATAAAAGGATTGTGGGCAGAGACATAAATTGGTCTGTCTGGCTGAATCCATGCTGTGCTGCTAATGTATCCAAATTAACTCAACTGTAAATTGTCTCCTTTAGATGTCTGTCGGGCTAAAAGTTCCCCATATGATTCATGATTCAGATTGCTTTTAACAGTTATTGGCTAAGCAATATGGTAAATGTACAAGGTGATGCAAATGGCATTAGTGGGAAAGGATGCACAAGAGCATGTAATGCAGTCAATACTACATTAACTACTGATGCCCAATTACAGAACCAGGGAGAGTGGCTTTTAGGAACATTAGGACTTGGAGAAAAGCTGAGATCACCTGCTGCTCATTGCCTAAAAGCTTCACCCTTTATTTGCTGGGACAGAGCAGCAGATCCAGCATTTTGACTACGTAGGTTGTCAACAAAGCTGCTCGGGATCCGCTCTCTTTCACTGTAGTGCCTCTTAGCGTTTATTGCCTCTAAAGTTATAGGCTTGTCAATTCAACCCCTTTTGTCTAATGTATCCATTTAGTACTTACATTTATACAGCAAATGCTTGCTTAGGTAAAGATGGAGGTGTGAATGGATCATTCTGAGTGACCGTGTATGATTACTGTGTGTGTGTGGCAGCATGATTCATTTGCATGTCCAGACTGTGTCTTATGTCCTTATGTGTTGAATAAAACAAATCACGTCTTGTCAAAAGTTTGAACTCAGAGATCATAAAATAAGACTAAGACTCTTTTTTTCTGAATTCAGCATTCTCCTGCAAAAGTATGGGAATGTTTGTTTTTTTTTCAAAAAAAAAAAAAAAAAAGATGCACCTGCAATAGAAAAATCCCGGCTCAAAGTAAGTTTTCTGGTTCAGGTTGCTCGTTGTAATAGCCTCATCCGTCAGAGATTACGTTCCTGCCTGAGATGAATCACCGTACAGTCTTATTCAAATGATGCACTCATTAGCTCATAATATGTGCTACCTGGTAAAGCGCTGATACTGAGAGCACAGAGGAGGAGTATATAACGCCAGCGCTGCTCCATGAAATGACCTAATATGCAGGTCGTAGTTAGTAATGAACAGCAACACACGCTCCAAAATATTCCGTGTCAACATTTTATTTCATCGGACGACATGACGGTTCCAAATTTCATCTAATTTAAGGGGAAAAGGCAACTCAGCCGTTTTCTCTCCTGCTTCACACCAAGTGCAGAAGAAGAAAGTAAGTTCCCCCTGATGGCATATTTTTGCTGAACATTAACACCACTACAGTAGACTCTTTAAGAGAGCAGAGCAGAAGGAAAAAAACCCTCCAGCCACTGATAAATTTCAGGTTACCTCTGCCTGTTAATTTATGAGCCTGTTATCATCCTGTCCAGTGAAATTTGTGCATTCATAAAGCATATGATTCAGGAGCAATGCATCAGATGAAAACAGACTGGTGACCTGACGATTGCTGTAATAAAACTTTGGCTCCAGGCTCTGATTTTTATTTTGAAATAATAAGAATTGCTTCATTCTTACCGGTGTTACCATGGTAATACTGTCTTGTAGCAATGTTATATTGATTTAGAAAGTGGACAGTAATATTTCTTTTCTGTTATTTGGTTTCTGAGGGTTGATTTCTAATTTCCAGTTGGAGATTACTTTTATGTGTTCCTTAAGTCTTTTCACTTTTACAAAGGAATGCAATTTGCTCCCCTGTATTTGCTTTTTTTTCACAGCTTATTGGTTTGCTCCAACTTCAAAATTAAACTTGGCCATTTCAAATATTGAAATTGCGTCTGGTTTGTGCTCTGGGCTTGAAGAATATTACCAACATGCTGCTTAGTTGGGTATTTTCTAGTTACTTATCTTTTTTCTCTTCCTTTTTTAATAAAAGTTGATTTAAGGCACTGGCATTTACTGGGCTGTCCCTTTAGAAATTGGCCACATGCCGGCGTCAAGACCAAGTAGAGATGTTGTATCTATATTATTTGTTAAATAATTAAAACAATAAAACAAAATCTCCTTGTTCGAATTTAAATATGCAGGAATCTGTATGATACAGCACTGCAGTAAAAAATGGACTGCGCCTCTCTTTGTGAACACACCCTCAATGCCTCAATGCTGATACGTTATAGTTGCCTAACTTAAAATCAACAAAACTTTGTGCCAATTCCAGGGTGAATGATTAATTCTAACTAATCTCACTCTGATCTTACAAATGCAGAATCCTCATAGGGGACAATTAACTCTGTTGCAGTGAAACCTCTAGATCCTTATCGGTGCCGATCATTTCACATCTAAGAGCGCGGGAGATGTGTATCATTTTTCATGATTCCTGGCAGAACTTAAAGGGCTTGAACTGATACTTGAGAGACTGAAACACCCACTATCCTTGGTTCAGACAACTTCACCGTGACACATGAAATGATCGTGTATGTGGTGACGCGCAAGGCACAGTAAACAAACCTGGCATCATAACAATGACAACATTGACATCATATACAGTATCACAATAGATATTACATCAAATCAGTGGTTTAATTGGTTTTCGCTGCATTCTAAAGTATTTTGACACTCTGAGGTAAAGTGTGACTTTGAACTACCTTGGAGGAAGAAAAAACCTTTACAGTTTCATGACAAACGCAGACACACAACTGTTCGCAAAAAAGAGACGACAACGTAGTGTCTGTACAGAGCTGAACGGATATAAATATATGGGCGTTTGAAGAAAACACTAGAGAAAGATGTAGGAATATGTGGAAAACCAGTCTTCTACTCGCTTGTCATGGCAAAGCTGGCCTTTTTCTGAGTGCTGCGCTCCATGTAGCTATTGGAATGGAAATGTTGTTATTTTTTATATTTGTAAAGAAACCTATTAAAACATTTATTATTCAACAACAATAATTGTGAAGCTGTTGGGATGAGCTTCTGTCCAAACTACAATGTCACCAACTATGGTTCATTAGCAGCTCAGCAGTCTTGCATAGTAAGACCTTCACAGTGCCATGTCAGCACTTTAAAACTCATCTGACTTCGCATTATCATTCTACTGAATGGAAAAACACCTTCTTTTTTAAAAAAAAAAAAGACAGTTTCAGGGGTGAGTTTCATAGGTTGGGTAGTATGCTGGCACCTCAGCAAAATTGGAGTTCCTCAGGGTTTTGCTTTAGGGACATGCCATTTTGATGGCTAATTCCCAACTTGGAAAAGTCTGCAAACTATAAAAGTTAATTCTGCAACCAATATCCATAACTTAGCAATAAAACTGACTGAGGTTGTTGGTGACATTTTTGCATTTTTTTGTTTCCGTTCATTTGTTAATCAAAATTTAAACGAAGCAGCGATAAGCTAACTCTAAACAAGGGCAAAACCAGCTAAAAGCATATTAGCATTTTATAGGTTGCAAGCAAAATGAAGACAGTGTCTGCAATATGAATGTAACAATACACTCAACCCACAATACGATATCGTTCATGATATCTGATACAAAATAAGCTCCAGACAAATTATGACCAAATACAATGATTCGTTATTTGTAAGAATTATGTAAAATACCGTTAGCAACTGAAATGGCCTTGTTTACATCACAAAATGATGGTTATATTAAATATCAGAATACAAAAAATGTTGAACTTAGGCTACGTTGGGACGTGGCATCTTAGTTTTTTAGCGGGTCACAACCAATGATTTTAGGCACATCTTTATTTAGGCATATACTGCCACCTACTGTGCTAGGATGTGTAGTGTTATGGTATGACCACTGACTTTTTGGAATAACACAGCCTAATCCTTACGTTTGGTGCACAATTTTGTATTGATTTTTAACAGATTGCAGATGTATCGTTACATCCCTAGTCTGCAAACAACTTGCATCTGTTTTTATGCGCAATTAGTTCTTGTAACATCTTAAAATTGTCTGCGTGCAATAACTTGCACCACGCAGCCACATTAAATTAAAATAGGAAAATCTTTGATGAAGCTTGCATTACCATGATGGAG